GCGACCGCGGCGGAGCGATACGTCGCCGGGCCGTGGAGGGCGGCGGCGCAGGGCGCGGCCAGCCCCGGAGGAGCGATGCGGCCCCGGCGGCGTGTGAGTGCTGCCGCGTCAGCAGAGGGCGGGGCCCCCTCTCGGCCTCCTGAGGAGCGTGTTTGTGGCGGGGAAAAGCCTCAATGCCTCCCAGCGAAGGCCACGGCCCACAGCAGGTTAAAATACAGTTTGTATTTGTTGTTATGGCCGGCTGCGCGTTGAGGCCAGCCTCCTCGCATGGAGGTCAGGGTCCCTCCGTGAAACCCGTGGTGCGGGAGTGTCGGGGAAGAGCTGCGGTGGTGGGTCCCAGTAGGGACTTCAAGTGCACTAGATAAAAGTGTGTTTGAAAGCCACCTTCACCATATGCATGTGGGATTCACATGGGGCATCTTTACGTGTCGCCTTGTTAACGCTCAATGTTTTTGTCAAAGGTGCCTTAATGGCACAGAGATGTTTCTGCCAGGGGATCGGTTTGGGATCTACTGTAGCGAAGAGCTTGTGCAAGAATTTGTAAAAAGCCTTGCTTTATAGAGATCATAAAATGTATAAGAAGTAATTTCTTAATTCTGCCCCTGCCATTGAAGCTTTTCATTATAAGCCATTAGCAATCATTTAAAGCCATTTGACACGTTGCCATGGTAGTCTTGGCTGTTGTCAGGTCCGTAGGCTCACCTGCTGTCAGTGTAATGCACCAATTTGTGTTCAGGGCTGATGATGTCCAAGAAGTTGCTGATCATCAACCAGGTATTATTTCTGAAAAACGTGAAAAAAGGTGTGTTCTGCTTCTACCGGCAGAAGTTGATATAAAATATGATTTTTTTTTTTACTTTTTCAGGTCATTCTCATTAATCCTTTCCAATATTTTCATGAGCCAGCAGTGTGCCCAGGTGGCCAAGAAGAGCAACAGCATCCTGGCCTGTATCAGCAATGGTGTGGCCAGCAGGAGCAGGGAAGTGCTTGTGCCCCTGTACTCAGCACTGGTGAGCCCGCCCCTCGAATACTGTGTGCAGCTTTGGGCCCCTCACTGCAAGAAGGACATTGAGGTGCTGGAGCGTGTCCAGAGAAGGACAACGAAGCTGATGAAGGGTCTCGAGAGCAACCCTTATGAGGAGCGTCTGAGGGGACTGGGGTGATTTAGCTTGGAGAAGAGGAGGCTGAGGGGAGACCTTATCGCTCTCTTCAACTACCTGAAAGGAGGTTGTAGTGAGGTGGGGGTCGGTCTCTTCTCCCAAGTAGCGAGTGATAGGACAAGAGGAAATGGCCTCAAGTTGTGCCAGGGGAGGTTTAGAATGGACATTAGGAAGAATTTCTTTACCGAAAGAGTGGTCAAACATTGGAACAGGCTGCCTAGGGAAGTGGTGGGGTCACCATCCCTGGACGTGTTCAAAAAACGTGTAGATACAGCACTTCAGGACGTGGTTTAGTGGGCATGGTGGTATTAGGTCAACGGTTGGACTTGATGATCTCAGAAGTCTATTCCAACCTAATGATTCTATGAATATATGATGGACCAAACTCAATTAGGCTTTACCAGCATTGTCACTGGTCCTATATTTGTAGTAAGAGGAGATGCTTGGACCTCATGTGTGACAAGCTCAAGCTTGTAGGCATACATCAATTGTAAGTGCACCCAGGCTGTTTTAAAAAGCCTGAAGCATGTTATTTTTATGATAACAATATGATCCATATATTTGGAATTAAATGGTGGTCACAAAAGAAATGCATTATCCTTTATTACCAAAGTCACAAAATAATAAAATACAGTATTGGGTGTGACTTTAGTAATAGCGTGGCCTTGGTTTCAGCCAGTTCCCAAAAGCAAAACTACAAGTAGTCTAGAGAAACCCTTACTCAGGTAAATAGTGTTAGCTCATTTATTTCTGATATTACTTAGTTCTGTCATGTATTTCTGTGTAAAGCTGTTGGGGAAGGGAAAAGAGCCAAAGTACAGCTCTGAATTAAACTTAGCTGAAAGAAAACAGAGGGTAATGTTTTCAAGGAAGTGATTTAGTAATTAAGTGAAAAGGAAAATCTAATCAAATGTTCTTAAAATTGGTATATTAAAGATATTTTTCAGATATTTTAGTCAGATAAAACAGACCATTATGAAAGAAAAACACTTTGATATGGGTGTCATTCAAATGAAAGTATTGACTGTGATGGTTGCATCTGCAGGCTGAGCCTGCACAGCTGTGGAGAGAATATTTTGTACTACTTGGAACAGCATAACATTATGCTTTGAGGCCCAAGTAGAAACTCGGTCGGTTTGATTTCTGTGGTATGCGTTGTAACTGGCATTCAAACGTAAATGACTTCCTGCTAGAAATAAATGCAATAATGAATCTGTGCTTTACTGTATACAACATTATTTAACATCATGTATTTTTATGCTAATTGTGCAAAACCTAACAAAGCAAACACTGCTCTCAGATACAGTGTGTAAAATCAACAGCAAGGTTGATAAAACTCTGGTTTTACATGCTGAAAGCAGAACTTGATCAGTGTCTGTCCAAGACAGCTCTGCAAGTTGGTTCTGCTACATCCATCCAGGTTCTTGATTTGCCTTCTGTCTCTGCTATAAAGTATTTTAAAATTTGTCTTTGAATTTAAAACTTGCTATTAGCTGTTGTTTGATCTCAGTTCTTCCTACATCAGAAGTGAAAATGCACCTTCTTCTCTCTGTCCCCAAATACTTGTTACCTTAGAGACTGTAGCTATGATAGATAAATGGTGATATCAGTAGACTTTCGGGTCTGTGGCTAAGCAGCAAATCAGTGTTTCCACAAACTGAATTTTTCTTCAAATGCGTAATATTGAAAGAATATTCTCGAGACAGACTTGTGTGGACGAGGGATTACTGAGATGATCTACAACAGGCAGCACTGTGACTGAATGGCACTGAGTAATTAATGAAAAGCACAAGAGGAAATTCACCTCTTTCACTGAGAGTGCCTGTTCCTACAGTGGCCAAATTCTGACCTCAATTATATCTGTGTGACCTTATCTAGCACCATCTGTTCAAAAATGCAAGCCTACCTCCTTTTTGCTGTCTCAAATTTTCTGTAAGTCTGCTTTGAAATCTAATTAAGTATTGTAGTTATAGCTGTAATTTGTTTACATTTTAATCTTGATTTTACTTACACTTACTGATATTAACATACACAAACACACAAAAAGCAAATGAGAATAATTTTCTTAATAAAAATAATCAACTCTTTGATTTACAACTGTTTCAGCTTACTTAAGTGTGAGGTATTTTTTGACACCTAGGATTTTGAATCCATCATGCTTCTAATTAAAATATATTTTTAAATGACCCTGTGTTGTGGTTTTCTGTTTTGGGTAGATTTGTGGAAGCACTTTACACTCAGTTTTTAAAATTCTTTTTTTTTTTTCTCTTTCGATCCTTTTTATGGCTTCTTACAATACATATATTCTCTCATTCACTGAACAACACTGGAAAGGATGAAAAGGTTTATTCACGGTGAATGTCTCCATCATCTACCTCTTCAATCTTCTAGGAAAGAACCTTATGCCCTCTCTCATGCTTGAGAAGAGCTATCTATAAACATTTTCAAAGCAACGTAGTTATCCTTACCCGAATCCTCCGTAAAACTCAGCATCAGTGTGAGGTCTGTCAAAATGTGTAACGTTTAAATCACATCATCTCCAGACCTCTGCTTCCTGTACTGTTTTCATGTCTTCATGTCTTCCCCAACCACCTTTTCCCATGTGTTATGTGTTCCTTTTACTTGTACTGTTAGGTCTTTCAGGTATGGGTTGTCAGTTCATTTTTAGTTTGTACAGCGTATATCAGTGTGTCCTAGCTTCACTCTTTGATCCTTGACAATATGTTAATAAGCATTAATATCTATAATGAGAAAAAATACAGATGCTAATTATAATAACCAAGCAGCCAGTAATAATAACTAAACAATAATAAATAGTCATGTTTCCATTGCTACACTTGCTTTTGTTACCACTTTTTTTATCAGATTGCGAAGTTAGAGTAGCTTACTTTCTTATTTGGTAACCTAAAAATAATTGTTACATGTCACAGGATAATATGTTCTTACAGTATTATTTTGGCCTATTGTAGCATTCTGTCTCAAAACAAGCTATATGTAATGTATTTCCTATTTGTAATCGTTATACTGGTCCACTGCAGTAATAAAGTTATCATATGGAACATGTGGTGGACCCCTTTACATTGTTGGAACTGCTTTTATTATTACAACTCCTTGTAACTTTATGATGTCTTCGTAAATGTGATCCATTGCAATAATAAAGTTGTTGGACAAATATAGCAAGTTATTGCTTGTTTCCCTCAAGTCTGAAAGTTATCTTGACATTGTTAAATGAGCATACTTAAAATTTTCAATGTTGAAAGGAAGGTAACCAGAAACTTGTATTACACAAATACTATTTTAGAAATATGTCACCTTAGAATGTCTACATCTACTTCATGTGACTTAGGTACACTTACCGAATTTTTTAAACAGGATCCTCACTGAGTTAGGATTATCTAGGACTAGAGGTTGTGTCAGCATGTGCCAGACTGTGATGTTTTCATGGTTAGAACACCCCAAAGCAATAAATAATTGCTTTGGGAGTTAATTTACAGTGTGTAAACTTTGACTTTAAAAAGAAAATGGTGTGATGTCTATGGCTAGTCCTCTGCCCAAGTTGTTTTCTGTGTAGTTTTTGTTAGGTCACACTAATACCGTTCTGTGTTTTTCCATGTATAGTTAGTCTGTACAAACCCAGCCCCTTGTTTTCTACTGGCTTCTGTGTCTCGCACTCAAGCTCATCCAAATAAAGCTTGCTGAGGTATCACAGCTCCATAGTGTTCACTGTAAAAACCGTTGAAAAACTTTGAAGACAGATTTTGAG